CAAAAATTGATGATAAACTGATTACAATTAACTGGACTATAGTTTACAATGACAAAGAACAAAAATTGCCAGAGATAAACAAATTGTTCTTCTCAACAGACATTCGCCTTAATCCCTCTGCAGTATAATACTTAAGTAAAACTCACACATAAAAGCTTCAGTAGTTGTAGCTATATATATATATATATATATTTAAATAAAACCCACAAAAGTATATCGTACATCATCATCATGTAGCGGGTCCTTTGCAGTATGTCGCTCTCATCACGCTCTGCCTGAAAGAAACTCGGTCTCTCGCCAGTTCTCCCTCCTCATGAACTTTCACACTCAAGGAGTCACTTATATCCTGTGCCCATCTTCGTGTTAGTCGGCCCCTGTACCTCTTTCCTGGTACCATGCCTTCTGCTATAATTTTTCCAATCCGTCGTGGCGCTTGATATGACCAAAATATTTCAGCTTCCGAGAAAGGATGCTGTTTATTAGCCAATCTTCCTTAATGTTCAAATCTTTCAAGATGTCAGTATTTCTCCTCTTCTTTGTCCAAGATATTCAGAGAATCTTTCTATAGCATTTCAGCTCAAAAGCCCCCATTCTCTTTCTTAAGGACTGAGTGATAGTCCATGACTCACATCCGTATGTAGCCACAGGGAAGATGCATGCTCTCAAAATTCTAATTTTGATCTCCTTGCTGGTGCTTAACCATATACTTTTAAGGCATTTCAATCTTTGCATTGCTATGGCTATCCTCCTTTTAATTTCTGTCAAACAGTCTTCATTGCTGTTTATTATAGAGCCTAGATATTCAAAGTTTGTGATATTATCAATTTCTTCATCATTTATTGTTATTTTTTGGGTGACAGCCAGTTTTATCTGTGGACATTATTTTCGTTTTCTTCAAATTCAAGAACAGATTTTGATTTTCACCGTGCTTTTGGACAGACAATATTAAATTTTCTATTCCCTTTATTTTGTTCAAAAGGAGGACTGTGTCATTTGCGTAGCGAAGTTCTGTCAATTTTGAGTGGATCATAACTGTCACAAATCTGGTCATTTTGATATTTCTCATTATATTTTCTGCATATATATTGAATAGGTATGGTGAGAGAATGCATCCCTGCCTCACCCCCTTTTGCACCTCGAACCAATCCGATGTTTCACCAGCTGCTCTTATAGCTGCATGATAAAGATTTTCAATTAGATGCACTAAATACTCTGGAAACCCCATACTTCTCATAATAGTCCACATTTTGTGCTGTTGAACACAATCAAATGCCTTGTTATAATCAATAAAACAAGCATGAAGATCTACGTTGTATTCTCTACATTTTTCAAAAATTATTCTCATATTAAAGATGTGATACCTAGTTCCTCTACCCTGTTTGAAACCCCACTTGTGCTTCATCTAGCTTATTTTGTAATTTTCTTTCAATTGTCTTCATGATAATTCATAAGAGGATTTTGCTAGCATGACTTATTAATGCGATGGTACGATAGTTGGAGCATAGTTTCAGATTTCCTTTCTTTGGGAGAGTGATATAGATTGTTCTTTTCCCCACTTTAGGCCAAATGCCACTATTCTAGATCTTTGAGCACAGTGCATGGTAGATTCGGACGCTGGCCTCTCCTCCTGCTTTAATTAGTTCTGCTGGTATTTCGTCGCAACCTGGTGACTTTCCTTTCTTGAGGCTGCATATTGCTGATCCTACCTTATCCAGTAAAGGCTCTGGTTTTTTTTTATAACTTTCACAAGTTGTTTTTGAATTACTTGTCACATCCTCATACATTTCTCTACAGTATTCTTTCCATCTTTTTAATATGTCTTTGGTTTCCCTTAAGGGGGCAGTTCTAGCAGGGAATCAGTGGCGTTAAAAAAGAAATCATTAAAATTTCAATTTTAAAGATAGGACTCTCAAATTTGCAGAAATAATAACCATATGATCAAGCTATCATATAAAATGAACATCTTTGGAATTCAATATATACATGTGAGATAATAATTTTTTTAAGTGAAACATTTATTTTTTAAATATGCAAAATATAGATGTTACTTTGTAAATATTTTTAGGGAAATGGTGCAGCTAAATTCCTTCAAAATTAAACTGCACATACAAAAATGGTGTGAGTATGGCCCGGACTATGGAAAACAGTACACATTTAATATATTTTATGTAAAGCTACCTAAAATTTTCCTCTTTTTGTGTGTGGAAAATTACAAATTTGAAATTACATAAAAATTAACACAATCATGATATTTGAATTCCCTTAGAATAGGCTACAACCAGTTATAATGTGAACAGGCATGCAAAATTTCATGCAGATTAGTTGATATCTGAGAAAGTTATACCAGGATAAGTGAAAAAAATGTAACATTTTACAACAAACGCGTTAATTCTTTTAGAGAAAATATTTTAGATTTTTTACCTCAGTGACTCCCTGTCAAGTAAGGAAAACCTTCGGATTGAGCTTGTACCTCCTCTAATCCAAGTCGCTTCCTCCTTCTTGCACTTCTCGCTTCCAATGATGCTTCTGTTGCTTTCTTCTGATTTTTCAGCCGTAACGTGTCAGTAGAGATGAAAAATTCTGACGTGAAACGTCCACACAATAGTTGCATTGCCACTAGGGGTGCTTCTAGGGCTTTTGCTCCATCATTGAAAATGAGTACTGCAATGCCAACTTCAATCTTCACAGCTACTAATCCGTGGTACTTGTGTTTAGGGCAATGTCGCCAAATTGTGCTGTTGATTGATTCGTTAGCGTTCTGGGTGTAGCCATCTAGACATTTTCTTAACAGGTCAGGGTTCGAGAGATCTCTGAAAACTGGCTTGATGACCTCTATAACTGCTGCAGGCAGGGAATTTTTATGTTTATAATCCTTTTCTGTGTTGGTAGCAACAGCTATTTGATATGGGCACCAACTAATTTTGCAAAGATCGTGAACAGGCTTTTGATCCGTAGAGAGTTTATGAATATATATTGCCCAAACAGCCTCTCGCATTCCTTTCAAGTCATTCTTATTACCTCTGATTGCATTCCCATAATATTTCTGAATAGAGTCAATCTGTGTGTCCGTAAGCCTTCCTTTTCCACCAAGATTCTTCCCATCTGACAGTTTCTTTCCCTTCCCCAAAAAATTCTTGATCTTGCATAGTCTGGTTCCCATTCTTTTTTGCACGTGCCCGACACATTCTATCTTCACAACAGGTGTGTCACCGTATTGTTTTGAATCAGAAACTGTTTTGAAGCTGTTTGTGTCACCATCAATTTGATACCAAGTTTGTTTCTAAATTCAAAAATCACATCTTTTCGAGATTCTCTGGTAGAACTCCCCCAATGTGTTACCGTTTTTATCACTTATTACATGAAAAGAAGGACTGATATCGCCTTTCAATGTTTTAATTTCTTTAAACATGTCTCTGTCTCTTCCTTGCATCTGGAGTTGTTCAATTCTATTACAGGTTTTTATAATAAACTGTTTTTATCTTCTCAGATAGCTCTTCTGATTTAAGTGACAACCATCATCATCATCATGTAGCAGGTCCTTTGCAGAAAGTTGCTCTCATCACAGTCTGCCTGAAAGAAACTCGGTCTCTCACCAGTTCTCCTGCCTCATGAAGTTTCACACTCAAGGAGTCACTTAAATCCTGTGCCCATCTTCATGTCGGTCGGCCCCTGCCCCTCCTTCCTGGTGCCATGCCTTCTGCTATAATTTTTTCCAATCTGTCGTGGCTCTTGATATGACCAAAATATTTCAGCTTTCGAGAAAGGTTGCTGTTTATTAGCCAATCTTTCTTGATGTTCAGATCTTTTAAGATGTCAGTATTTCGCATCTTCTTTGTCCAAGATTTTCTGAGAATCTTTCTATAGTATTTCAGCTCAAAAGCCCCTATTCTCTTTCTTAACGACTCACATCCGTATGTAGCCACAGGGAAGATGCATGCTCTCAAAATTCTAATTTTGATCTCCTTGCTGGTGCTTAACCATAGACTTTTAAGGCTGTTCAATCTTTGCATTGCTATGGCCATCCTCCTTTTAATTTCTGTCGAACAGTCTCCATTGTTGTTTATTATAGAGCCTAGATATTCAAAGTTTGTGTCATTTTCAATTTCTTCATCATTTATTGTTATTTTTGGTGACAGCCAGTTTTATCTGTGGACATTATTTTCGTTTTCTTTAAATTCAAGAACAGATTTTGATCTTTACTGTGAAGTGACAAACAGTTTTTTAAAATAAGAACTATTTTAATTTTAATCTTTAGTCCAACCACGTTGAACTGAGCTGTAGCCTCAGCAACAAAATATGTTTAAAACTAGTCTAGTGTTATATCAGTGGTAATTCACCCCTTCTTCTTGGCATGGTAATTGACAGGAAACAGTGTTGTTCCCTTGAATACCCTCACTGACTTCCTGACAAACATTTGCTATTTTGATCCACTATCAAAAAAGAACTTTAGCAGTTGTTTTTTCCCCCCTGTTTTTTGATATTGTACACTGCTGTAGAACCAGTGTCATATGTTTCTCAAATGGTTGTCACACTGCTATCAAATTTTATTGTAGCATTTTCACTTTCTCTGTGATCAACAATGCACAATGTTAACATTTTACATCATCTCTTACCTTTACTGAATCCATAATAGGGCTATACAAAACAAATAAATTATAAAATGAGAAGGAATCAGCGGGTGTGCCTCTCAGGACATACAAACAAGACCCATCAGCTAGGTCTGGAGTACAGTGCCATCAAAACATAAACGGTACCTCCAGAAAACAATGGCATGCCAACGTGATAAATATGAAAATGTGCTTGGCAGATCTATGCTGGAAATCTGAAGGAATAAGAATAGGGACGGTGTGATTTTTTTTGTTTTTTATGTTAATCTTTATTCAATTTTAATTTAGCCTCTAGCAATAAATTAAAACACAAATCTTGACTGAAACCGTTTATCCTGTATGACTTTTTGACTTGTGGCATAGATGAACTAACATGGTTGATTTAATTTACAGTGAGACGTTATTGTTTCTGCATCAAATATTTCTGAAAGGACTAACTGCTCGTCTAGAAAATTGGCCTACTCTTGTTTTAGGTAAGTATCCCCTCTCACCCCCCCCCCCCCCCCCCCCCCTCCCGCCCTCATGCCTTTTTTAAAAAAAAAAGTCTATTTAGGATCCTTTGTTTCATCATTATTATCATATGTTGTGTCAATAAGCGTAGAATATTTCACAAAATAACCATAGCTATATATCAGGTCAGTGTTCTTGTCTCACCCCCATCAATCTGGCTAAGACGGCTAAGTATTTATCTCTTTGCCTTCCTCTTACTGTCTGTCCACCTATCTTGCCAGGCATTACCAAGTTCTTGAGTCCATTCCTTTTGAAAAACACCTGACTGCTTATGTCTAATCATTCTAATCAGTCTACCACAGCTTTTATCTATCACAAGGACTGTCTCACCTGGAATAAATTTTTTTCACAATGTAGTAAGAATATATAAAAATGTTATACAGTAATATTGTTTTTCTTTTGTCGTCTCACTGTTACCAGGTTGTAATTCAGTTTTGTGTCCAAATATTTTTACAATATTATTAGATGGTGAAATGTTACATTTTATGATTTTGCAATGCTTATAAACATTTAAATCATAGTTTTAAGATACTAAGAAGAATATTCCAGTGAGTCTTCAACAAATATTATTGTTATGAAATCCAGTAGACTATATATATATATGTATATATTTCTTATCCTACATTTTCATGACCAGTATAATTTTCTAAGTGAAGCTACAAACAGGGTTAAGCATAAGATAAGATATATTATTACTAACAAACAGAATATGGTTTTTAATTATAGAGAGTTGACATTGTCAAAAGGAATGACAGTCCACTAGACACTCTCACTTAACATTTGCACTTCTAGTGATGCTGATGGTGTTGGCATGATGTTGACAGCAACATCCATTGAGTCTGGATGGTCTATACAAATGTTAGTCTAGTCTTGTACCAGAGAGAACACTGGCTTTATTAATTTGCCGTGCCCGGCTCTCTAGCGTAGTTGGCTAAACCGGATTGTGCGGAGACCGAGTGACAAACTCCTTGTGGTCCGGGTTCAATCCCGGGGGTAGACAGAAAAGCCACATTTCTCCCAGATTTACGGTATTTACAATGGAATCAAGGCCGAAAGGTTGAGATATCCATAATACAGAGCCTAAGGGTTAACAACTCATGGCTTCTGGATAATAAAACAAACAAACATTAATTTGCCGTGTGTGCCTGCTTCTAAAATGTGTGTTCAATAGTTTTTAATTAGGACAGTAAAGGGTATTTTAAATGATTTCCACTGGCACAGGATGCAGTTATGTGTTGAACTGTTTGCATTAAAGTTGAAACCTCAACTATCAGTTACTAGTGTATGTTTAGATCTGTTATCACAAATATATTCTTTTAATCAGTTTCACATTTTTAAAAATATTTACTAGAATAACTAAGGTGAAATATTGGTGTTTAGGGGAATCTGAAAGATGCAAATGGAGCAGCAAATTAATACATTTTTAAAAAACCAGTATGGCATGCTATTATGGAGAGTCATGGCATTAAGCAGTGTTCTTTGCCACTATTAGGAATGGAGAGCTATAGCATTAAACAGTGTTCTTTGCCACTATTAGGTATGGAGAACTATAGCATTAAACAGTGTTCTTTGCCACTATTAGGTATCGAGAGTCATGGCAAGCTATAGCATTAAGCAGTGTTCTTTGCCACTATTAGGTATGGAGAACTATAGCATTAAACAGTGTTTTTTGCCACTATTAGGTATCGAGAGTCATGGAAAGCTATAGCATTAAGCAGTGTTCTTTGCCACTATTAGGTGTGGAGAGTCATAGTAATAAGCAGTGTTCTTTGCCACTATTAGGTTTGGAGAGCCATGGCATTAAGCAGTGTTCTTTGCCACTATTAGGTATGGAGAGTCATAGCATTAAGCAGTGTTCTTTGCCACTATTAGGTATGGAGAGTCATAGCATTAAGCAGTGTTCACTATTAGCATTAAGCAGTGTTCTTTGCCACTATTAGGTATGGAGAGTCATAGCATTAAGCAGTGTTCTTTGCCACTATTAGGTATGGAGAGTCATAGCATTAAGCAGTGTTCTTTGCCACTATTGGGTAGGGAGAGTCATGGCATTAAGCAGTGTTCTTTGCCACTATTAAGCAGAGTCATGTTAAGCTTTGCCACTATTAGGTATGGAGAGTCATAGCATTAAGCAGTGTTCTTTGCCACTATTAGGTATGGAGAGTCATGGCATTAAGCAGTGTTCTTTGCCACTATTAGGTATGGAGAGTCATAGCATTAAGCAGTGTTCTTTGCCACTATTAGGTATGGAGAGTCATGGCATTAAGCAGTGTTCTTTGCCACTATTAGGTATGGAGAGTCATGATTAAGCATAAACACTAGAGACTTTCCTCACATACCCTATGCACCAGGTAAGCTTTTAGATGTTGTAAATGTTTGTTTTTTAAATGTGATGGTTCACCCACTTTTTTTTTTTTTTATGAAGGTATTCTTAGGCTTCTGTTTTTAGAGAAATTAAGACTAATGTACACAATGCATGAGAAAGAGCACATGGAAGATTCTCATTACACCCCCCCCCCCCTCCCAACTTTGTAGGTAAGGTTTGCCATTGGACTGATTTTTCAGATTTCTGATCATGCTTTTGCTTAGATCTGTGGCTTAGAGGTTATCAAATGAACTGACAGATCCTTGACATGCAAGGGTTTTGACTTCCACAGCGAGTAGTTTAGAAAAAGACATATGAGAGTCACACTATGAAAGAGATTAGAGCCTTCCATCATAATACTCCTAAAGCAGCGATGAAAGCCAATGTCTATCTTGGGGTTAGCATAATTTTATTATTGATTGTACTTTGTTAGTGGTATATATATTTTTTGGCTTTCTTTCAATGACAAATCTGCTGTGAAGGGTGTATTGTTTGCCCTAAAACGTATTTGTGGTTTTGCGTTAGTTTGCCTTTTTTTTTTTTTTTAAATACAAAACAGCAAGAAAATTAGTTAATTAAAGTTAACAAAAATTAATGAAGTTTCTTTCATTGAGTAATGCAAGGATCACTTTGAAATGTGTTGGGTTATCTTCACGGCACGTCGGTGGACATGTCATCAAGACTAACCATCTGATCCAGCCATCTACATTGACGGAATTAAAGTGGATCTCCAAGGATCAGGAAGAAGATATGGTCACGTACTGACATAATGGTTGATTAAAATAATGTTTCTTGTACAGTATACAACAGACATGAATGTGTCTGTCTATCAAAGTGCACAAAACTGGTCCTGTTTTCAGTTCTTGGTCTTTTGTCATATGAATTTCTAGTGTAGTTAGTATGATATCTGCCTTACAATCGAAAAGTCCTACATTCAACTCTGCAAGAAATTTGTTTCCAAATGTAAATTTTAAATTTCTGTTCTAATCAGTTTTGGCAACGCAGCTCTCAAGTAATAATTTTTCATATTTAAAAAAAAATGTAATAACACGAAGAATACAATTAATTATGACTAAAGCGATAGATTTATGGATCAGGTGGGATGGTGGGGAGGGGGGGGGGGGGGGGGGGGGGGAATTGCCATCAATTCAGTGCCTATTGTGATTCCCAAGTCACAGCCTGGGGTGAAGTGCTAGGATTCCCCCCCCCCCCCCCACACACCACCACTGATACCCTCGGCATGGGTGACGGGGCCGTAGATTTGTCGGTCAAGTTTGTGGGGTGGTGGAACAGGCCAGGGGATGGTAAGAGCCTCTGATGCACTCGAGGCAATGAATAAACACATGGCAGTGGTTGAGATGACGATAAAGTAGAATCAGGAAGAAAAACAATTGTCTTGCAATATCCACCTGCACGGAATGTAAAGTGGTTGAAACATTCAAAGAATGTTCTTGCTGACGATCGGAAGGCTACTGTGTTCCCTCCACCATGGAGTTTCTACTACATGTGTGGTAGTGGTAGAGGCAAAGACAGACTTAGCTGAGGATACATTTTCTTTAACTATCCTGAGTGAAGCCGGGCAAATAAGTCTAGTTTCTAGTGTTTCTTTTCTGTAAATCTGTTACTGATTTGTCACCACTAGGGCCATCAGCCAGTTACGTAGGGTAAATATTTTCAGGTGTACAAAAACCTATCTTTTGCTTTTTGAGGATAGAAAAAATATCTAAGACAGGAGAAACTTGAAATGTGTTGTAATTTCTCTCTGTTTACTGTGATGTTCATTCATTGGAGTGGCTCATTTCCGTTGTTAATTACTTTTGAGTAATTTATTATCTAATCTTATTTTCTTGCTCCACTAGATCTTGTAAATCTCACTCAGTTCTGCTAGTAACACTGCATATCTTTGATTACACTAAGTATTTGGAGGACTGAAGGGGGAAGGGAGGGGGGATATGTGTATACAATTATCTCCACAAATTGAGTTGTTGTGTAGAAAGTAATACACATGACTGATCTGTTGTATATCATGTGCAGTGTAGTTTGTTTGTTATCTCACAGATTCCTAGATATATAATTACCTTACATGAGCTTCTTGCACACACACCACATGATCATGTTGAGAGAGAAAGCCTAGAATTTGCCAAAAGCAAGCTTGAGGAGCTATCTAGGGTAAGTCGTATCAACAAAGTTAGATTTAAATGTTTCATGCCAGTGAGGCATACTGGAAATATTGTGTTTGGCCCACATTGTCACGCGCTGAACAGAAGAATAGCCACATTCAGGGTAATTAAGTGTTTTGTTGAGGTTAATTTCATGCACTCAAAAGTAATTTTAAAGTTATGTTTCCTTGTGTATTCAGAATGCCATGAGGCTTAATATAAATGTGTGACATGTGAACCAGGGTAAGTTTGCATAACATCAACAAAGTAAGGTAGATTTAAATGTTTCATGCCATTGAGGCAAATTAGGAATATTGTGTTTGGCCCACATTGTCATGTGCTGAACAGAGGTTCTTTAACAGCCACAGTCAAGGTAATTAAGTGTTTTGTTGAGGTTAATTTCATGCACCCAAAAGTAATTTTAAAATTATGTTTCCTTGTGTATTCAGAATGCCATGAGGCTTAATATAAATGTGTGACATATGAACCAAACTTGTTGCAACAAGATACATGAGTCTAGGATTACAATATATCATCTTTAATGTAACAGAAAATTATCTCAACATCCTTGTGAGACTGGATTGACCCTACAGCTGTACTGGTGATGGTAAATTCTGCCACCTTCATCACCGGGAAGGCTAATCCAGTCAACAGATGTCTGCATAAGCTGAATCTGTTAGTCGAAAGGCTTAGTTATCACAGCCATGCTGTAATGATTTGATTTGATTCAAGAACCGACATCACAGCACTCAGGGCATTCCCATAAGTGCTCTGTTCCCATCTTCAGCAGCCAGCAAAGAGTTCCGATACCAATGGTGCCAGTAGCATTCTGATTAAATGTCCGTCTTGCCTTTACTCTGAGCCTTGAGCATCTGCCAGAACCTCTTGTCACTCCCCCCTGCATTAATCTCACCAGACTGTGGTGATCCATCTGCTCCTTCAAACTACAAACTCTCCTACAAGGCACTAACCACATCCACCTTATCGTGTATCAGTGTTCTCCCAAGTTGTGCAGAGCCAGCCAGTCTGTCTGTCTGTTCATTTCCCAACACACTGGCGTACCCTGGTGAAAAAGTCCAGACAATGCTCCTCACCCGTGTCCTCCGCAGAGAAGCATGCCACTCTGCACGAAGCATACATCTCATCTTCCTCAGCATGCTTTCTGGGTCAGTTACAATCATAATGTGTGTGTGTGTCATGTTCTCTAGTCATTAGAAAACTGCAGTGACCGCCTCCACCTCCATTCTTAAGCTGGATGTTGAGGTATCATATGCTAAGCTCTCCTGCACCAAACGTCGACCATTAACTTTTGCTAAGAAGCCCCAAACACTTCTTTTGTCTCTTGACACTGAACTGTCTGTGTAAATGATCAAATCCTCTGAGCGAGCATTATCTTGAATTAATTGCTGAATTTCCACCTCTGTGGCACCTGCTGGCCAGTCTCTGCATTTCCGGCTCACCGTGATTATGACTCTACACAAGTCTGACTCTTCAGGTGGCACTTTAACCCACTCCTCTCCTTGTCTAATGTTCTCAAGGATGCAAACCTGTCTGATTGTGTCTTCTGCCTGAGCCATCCATGACCTCCCTTTTATCAGCCGCTGACCCTTAACTGCACCCAGAGCTTCATGCAGAGGGTGGTCTGTGTCTGCAGCTACCCTGAGATATGACGTCCCCTGCAGCACCTTATGTCTACCTGCAACCATCTGCAAACCAAGGATATATTGCATACACACCACTGCAGTGTCTCTGAATGACCCACATAGCCGCGTTCTGTATGCGCTCTAGTTTGTCCATCTGACTCTTTGAGATGGTAAGCAGTCCCAGGCCATAATCAACCACTGACAGGATCAGGTGCTGATATAGTGTGAAAAGCATTCTCTGCTCTATGTCAATTGCAGCCATAGTCTTAAGTGCACAAAGTCCTTTTTGGCATCTCGTCACAACACTCTCTACATGGTCCTTAAAGGACAGGCTCCTGTCAAATGTAATTCCCAGATACTTCAGTTTTCTCTCTCTTATGATGTTTCTACCATCTATTGGGACACTAGCTTTGAGACTTGGGACACTAGCTTTAACGATTCTGTTGTCCAGAGAACACCATAAAACAGACGCATTTTCTGAGTGGACGACAGCCCTCATTGCTGTACACCACTCAGTCACTTTGTCTACTGTTGCTTGTAGCTTCCGGGCTGTTTGTTCCCTCTCTTCTCCCTGCCTATATGCAAGTATATTATCCACAAAAGTCAGTATCCTTCCTACTCCTGGTGCTTCTAGGCTTGCAATCTTGCTCGTATACACGTTAAAGAGCACAGGTGAGATGGTGGATCCCTGTGACTGTCCTGGGGCCAAACTGCATCGTTCTGAGGTCCATGAGCCCAGTCGGAGAGCAGCCCTACGTGAATACAGGACAGCTGTAACCCAATTCACCAGCCATGGACTGACCTCCTTCTCCTTCAGTGCAGTCATTAAGATGTTGTATCTCACTCTGTTACAAGCATCCTTGAGATCCAGTACTGCCGCCATAGTTTCCTGTCTGTTCTGGAACCATTCATAAACGTCAAAAGCAAAAGTGGCCTCATTTGCCCATATGTCCTTTCCTGGCCTGTAGCTTCCCAGACCTCTTGGGAGAAGCTTCCCCCTTTCCAAAACTTCTTGCAGCTTTACAGCAACTATCTTCTCCAAGACCTTCCCAAATGTGTTTTGTAAGGTGATGATTCTAAAGCCACTGAACTTTGAATGATCTTTAAAAGGTTTTGGTAGTGGGATTAGATAGCTTTGCACCCATGCTGTAAAAGGGCACAAAGCAATTACATTTTCAGATAAAGGCAGAAGAAGATATTCTTCAACAGTCCATTTTGAGGGGATAAGGAAAGATCATTATGTGGAATTCTGCAAGTGGTTGATTAAATATGTTCATTATTTTCACGAAAGTGATTATCATGGGAAAGAGGAAAAGGGACGTGTCTAGGGGATTACACTTCTGGAGACAGGAAACAGTACCAACAAGTTCTTCAAACCCTTGTCAGAGAATTTGGGAAAAGTACAGGGAAAGAGCAGATATAGTGCAGAGGTTGACTAAAAAAAATGTATTATTCTGGCAGACATGTACACTGGGGTGAGAAATTGTGATGAGCCTTGACAGCTAATTTGGAAGCATAATTTCACAGAGAGCAAAGTGGAGCATGTTCAAACATGACATCCAGCATGAAAATAGCAGCAAGGGTGGTTGCAGCTGTTTTGAGCTCAGTTTCTGAGACTCATTTAAATCAGTAAAGAATTGACTCACACAGTGAATGTTCCAGATGATTAAATGTGATGTCAGTATAATTGCAAATGAAATGAGTAATTTGTGGAACTTCTCAGGGAAATAATGTTGTTGAGCAGGGTAGATACTGTTTATAAATCATCGCTTGTTGCATGATTAAAAGCAGATCAATGAATATTCATGACCATGACTGATGGAATCAGAAATCCAGCTTGTTTCAAGCTCATAGTAGAAGATGAAACATAACTAACTGTCCACTGGAACATAAGTATCCACACTTGTCTGTATCCTCTAAGGCAGACAGAGCACATATGGACATGGTTTGCTGGTGTTGGATAACAATCTTTGATAATTGTAGCAGTAGTAGCCATAGAGAGACATTGACCAGTCATTCATGCACTCTCAACATCATAGTTATCCTACAGAATAGAGTGTTTAATAAGCAGAGATGGTTGTTTTCATGTTCATCTGCTGATGATATTTATTCTGTTTCAAAGTGTCACCACAAATTTCACACACATTTTTGTGCAGGAAACCAGTATGTTATTGGTGGTAGTATTTTTCCCCATAAAAGAATACACAAGGCAACATGGGAATCAACAGACCATAAGACGACTATTCAAATTGATCACCTATGTATTAACAAAAAGTTTAGATCATTCCTTTACGATGTTAGGGCTTTCAGAGATGCCAATGTTTTTACCGACCATTTCCTGGTTGTAAGTAAAATCAAGTTGAAACTAAAAAGATAAATAACGTCTTATAATCATAGAAACCAATATAATGTAGGTTATCTCAGGGATAAAGAAGTTAAAGAACAGTTCTCAGTTACAGTCTCTAACAAGTACCAGGTGTTGCAGCAGTTAGCTGAAGATGTCAGCACAGAAGTCTGCTGGGATCAGATCAAAGAAATCTGGAATGAATCTTGTGTATAAGTTCTTGGCAAGAAAGAACGGAAACATAAAGCGTGGATAACACCAGAAACCATTAAACTGATTGAAGATAGGAAAAGTAAAAAAGCAGACTCAAACAATAACAAAACTAGAGCTGCTAAAGCTAGAGCTCAGGATAAATACACAGAAGCCAATAAGGAAGTTAGGAGGCGTATAAGGGCAGATAAAGTGAAATATCTAAATGATTTAGCACAAGAAGCAGAGACAGCAGCAGCAAAAGGAAACCTCAGAGAACTTTACAGTAACACAAGAAAATTAGTAGGTAAATATAGTCAGCCAACTGGATCAATCAAAAATAGTCAAGGAAAGGTACTTACTAACACTAAAGATCAAATGGACAGATGGGTTGAATATTTTGAAATGCTTCTAAATAGACCAGGTCCAGAGGTTCCCCCAGATATCTAGCCTTTAGAAATGGAACTGGATATCAACTGTGAGATACCATCCAAAGAGGAAATTAGAAAAGCTATCAGTCTTCTCAAAGAATGAAAGGCGGCAGGCCCAGATGGTGTCTCAGCTGAAGCCATCAGGGCCAACATAAACACATCAACAGAATTGCTACATAGATTATTTAGTAAAGTCTGGGAGACTGAAGAAATACCAGCAGACTGGAGAGAAGGATATCTTGCGAAACTGCCCAAAAAAGGTGATCTAAAGGAGTGTGAAAACTATAGAGGAATTATGTTGCTAAGAGATGAACAGGCAAGTTTTCGGTCAAACAGATCCTGTACTGACGAGATAGCCACATTATGTATTATAATAGAGTAAAACATTGAACTGAACTCACCACTTTACATTGGATTTATAGACTATGTAAAAGCATTTGACAGCATTTGACTGCTGCGACACCTGGTACTTGTTAGAGACTGTAACTGAGAACCGGGTGACAAACTCCTTGTGGTCCGGGTTCACTTCCGGGGGTAGGCAGAAAAGCCACATTTCTCCCAGATTAACGATACCTATAATGTAATCAAGGCCGAAGGGTTGCGATATCCATAGTACCGAGCCAAAGGGTTTACAACTCATGGTTTCCGGATACGTAAAAAAAAAAAAATATCCCTGAGATCACTGGAAATTGATGAGGCACTATGGAATCCCACAGAAAATTATTAACTTAGTAAAGGCAACATGTAAAGACATGAAATGTCGAGTTCTTCATGAGGGAAAGCTAGCAGATATATTTTAAATAAAAATAGGTGTGCTACAGGAATGTCTTTTGTTGCCTCTCTTATTTTTACTGGCTATAGACTGGATTATAAAAACAGTAACTGCTAACACCATGAATGGAATTCAGTGGACCATTACAAAACAGCTTGATGATCTGGACTTAGCTGATGATATTTCTCTTCTGCCTCAATTATCAGAATCAGATGCAAGATAAATTAAATATACTTGATGCGAGATCACAGCAGCTTGGTCTGAAAATCCATAAAGGAAAGACAAAGATAATGAGAATAAATCAGGCAAATAGTAATGTGGTTTCTCCTAATGGCACCCCACTCCAAGATGGGGAGTCGTACACTTATTTGGCCAGTAATGTACATAAAGATGGAGGAACTGATAGAGATATTAAAATAAGAATACAAAAGGCAAGAGGAGCTTTCATAGGGAATTTGTGGAGGTCAACAGAAATTAAAAGAAATACTAAACTAAAAATTGTTAATTCTAATATCAAATCAGTACTTTTGTATGGGGCGGAAACATGGAGAACAACTAAGGCAATTACTAATCAATTACAAACATTCATTAACTGGTGCCTGCGCAGAATAGAGGGAATTAAATGGTATGATAGAATAACTAATGTAGAGCTTTAGGAGAGAACTAAACAGGCTCCAGGTGAGGAAAAAGTCGCTGGCGTTAAATAGAACACACACTGAGAAAACAGAAGAACAGCATAACTAGAATGTCTTTGCATTGGAACCCACAGGGGCATAGGAATAAAAAAAGGCCAAAAAACATATTGAGAAGAGAGCTGGAGAATGAAGTTAGAAAGATGGGGAGGACATGGCGAAGGATAGAACGACTTAGCGTGAGTTGGTTGAAGGCCTTTGCTCCACTGGGGGATAGAAAGGCAGAAGAAGAAAGTGTCACCACTAGGAATATGAAAGTGAAAGCAATATCTATTTATTATCAGTAAAACACATATTTATGAATTCACATCATCTAATTTACTCTGGAATATTCTGATATAAATAGTTATTTATCAATTCACAGATTATGCATGATGAAGTCAGTGAGACGGAGAATATTAGAAAGAATCTGGCAATTGAGCGCATGATTATTGAAGGTTGTGACATTCTTCTTGATGTGAACCAGACATTTGTTAGGCAAGGTAAGAATGTGATTATCTTTCGAGCAGCGTGATGTTGGTCAAAATATATTTTCACAAACTTCTGTCTCATTTACTGCCAATAATTTTATTACAAATGCTTGTTCTTTTATGTCATGGTGACAGACTGTCCATCTTTTTGTTTTGGATCCCCTTGGATTACCTTACTCCCAGGTTGACCCAGCCTTAAGTGGGTACCAGATACATTTCTGGGAAGTAAAGGTGGCCGGCATGATGCTGACCACATCAGCCAATAAACACGGCTTGGTCTTTAAAATATATGTCTAGCTGTATATAGCCAGTATGCCTAAGGGCATGAAGAAGGGACCTTTCCTACTTTATGAGATCCTTGAAGAATCTGGATAGACTTCTTTTGGTGTGAGTATTCAGTTCTCATTGTTTTCTTCATGTTCACCAACTGTAAACTTTGGCACTTCTAGACTTTAGTCTTGTTCCAGAACCTGAGTGTTTTGCATGCACATTCATTTTACAGATCTGGCCTATTTGTTTTCAGACTGTTGGTTCCTCAAGTCTCAGGCAGATGCATTGCAACTTCAAAGGAAACATCCATAATTAATATTAATAAATGAATACTCTTGCTACATGCTTGTTTTGTGTCAGTTGGCCTATTCACCTCTCCCCCAAAATTGGGGCCCTGGAACCCACATAGAGAGTTCTCTTCATCAGGTAGTCCTTACTCCTTATCATTGCATTTTTTATCTGTCAACTTTTGTTGATTTTGTACTAACCCTAGACTATTAACCATTTATACTGCATTTCCTGGGTGAGTTCCAGGGCCCATTTTGAGAAAAAAAGGAATAGATTCAATTGCTGTTTAACAAGTATGCCATAAAAGGGAGCCAATGCCCCTTCACGAGGATGTTGCAAAAGGGGACTATAAGCATTTAGTGAAACTGAATGTATTTGCCATAAGGAATCTACCAGTTATTTTAGCTTAGCTGTTAACCAACCCAAAACAACACAACATGGCAGCACTATTTTAAGAGTTAATGCAGATGAATCAGAATTATCAATGGTACTCTTTGAAACTTGTAACTGAGGGTTATATTTTGACAGTGAATCCAAGGTGCATTTATTTGGCACTGGCAGTTAACTGAATAAATAAAGCAACTGGTGCTGATGGAATTACAACTGAACTTTTAAAAGAAGGTGGTCATGCATTACATGTAAAGATATATGAATTATTAAAACTAGTTAAGAAGAAGGAGAAATTATCCAATGAATGGAAAGTGTCATTGTTAATACCTATTTTAAAAAAAGGAGACAAATATAAGTGTGAAAATTATAGAGGAATATTACTATTATCTACAAGCTAAATGATACTATAGGCAGTACTGCTAAACAGGCTAAGACCATACGTAGAAGACATATTGGGCGATTACCAAGCAGGTTTCTGACAGAACAGATCAACAATATATCAGATATTCTTCTTACGTCAAATAGCAGAGCAAAATTGAGAATATCGAAAAGATGAACATAATGTTTTTGTTGATTTTAATAAGGCATATGTTAGTGTACGTAGAAAAAGTTTATGGAATGCTATGAAGGACTTTAGACTTTGGAACACCAAAGATTTTAATTACCATGACCAAACTATGTATGGAAGACACTTGTAATGTAGTAACATATAAAGGTAGAAAGTCAGACCCTTTTCAAATAATATCTGGTTTTAAAGTGAGGTGATGCTCTGTCCCCACTTCTTTTCAACTTGGCCATAGAGAAAATTATAAGGAATTTGAAACAAAAAAGTGTACTATAGGAGAAACTACAAGAATACTTGGATATACTGATTATATTGATATTGTTGGAGAAAATGAACTAAAGACTGTTAAAACACTAACTGTCTTAAAAGAATCAGCTCAGAAAATGGGACTAGTTATCAATCAAAATAAAACAGAATATATGATAATAACTAGACAGGGAAAGGATATAAACTCCGGCCACATACAAGTCGATAATATGAAAATCAAACAAATGGAAACATATAAGAATACAATCTAGAAATAAAGTATACTATGCCCTTCAACATCTGGTAAAGTCAAAGTTTATGTTTCACAACACCAAGATCAAAATATATAAAACGTTTTGTTTGGCTCTGAAACTTGGAGCACAACTACATCTTACGACACATTTTGACCCATCAGAGATGTAAACAGTGGGGAATAGAGAGTGAGAAGCAACAATGAAATTTATAATATGTTTAAATCACCACTGATCACTGGCATCATGAGAGCTAATAAACTAAAATGGTTGGGGCATTTTGAAAGAATGTCAGATGACGGAGAAGTAAAAACTGTATACATGAGGGAGATGAATTGTCGTAGACCACGAGGCAGACCAAGATGACGATGGAGAGATAATATCCAATAAGACCTGCAAACACTTGGTGTCATCAACTGAAAAGATAAGGCCAACCAGAGAACAAACGAACGAATGAACAAGCGAACAAACAAACTTTATTTTCAAAGGGTTAAGAATTGGGCACACAGGCCCGTCTTACATTCTGCCCTTCTGGCCTCACTCCATGCATACATTATTTATGCACACATTGTTTTAGAAGATAGTAATAATAATAATAACAGGCATCATCAATAACATCTTTGTAACAATGTACTCTAAGTATGCCTACATTAAAAAAAATTATAATACTAAATATAATAAATCTTGGTGGAAATCAACATTATTATTAGGAAACTTTATCTTCTAAGGGGGCATGTGGTCTGAAGTGAGATAATATTCAAAAAGCTTCCAATTGTATTTATAGGGGTTTTTAATATTTTTAATTGGTTGTGGAAGTTGGTTCCACAGATGAGCTGCAGAGTACGCCAAGCTTGTTTTGTACAAGTCTATTCTAGGTTTCTAGAGAGATGAATGGAGGCTGGTGATGTCTGCAGCAATGAACCTCAAGGGCACGGAATGATGAAGAAGAAGAAGAAATTGATTTTTTTGCCTCATTAAGAACTGGTTAGAAACGAACTGTATTTTAATAGTCACAAACTGAGCATACAAGCTTTTTTTTACATTCAGCTTTTCCAAGCACCCATCTTTCACACAATAAATGTATTTTATCTACGCATGGATGGTATGTTTATAGCAAAACACATAATATGAAGTAAAAACACCAAGCAAGAATGCCCAAACATAACTCCCCCACCCCCCAACACACACATGCATGCATCCATGCACACACACGCACTGAAACACAAATAGTCTGTAATATAAAAAATATTGAAGAAATAAGAGTTTAGGAGTTGTTGGGCAATGTCAGCGTGTTGTCAGGCAATAAAAGTAATATAAATAGTTGTGGTGAAAGGAAGGAATATTTGTGTGCTTTTGTTTTGCTAATTGGAGTGGGGGGGGGGGGGGGGGGGGGAGAGGGGGGTATAGACAGTTGACAAACATTACTTCAGTATGTTCATCATCAGGATAGAATTACTGGAGGAAGTATGTACATTTATTGCCACTGAATATAACAACCTCATGCAAACTAAAATAAGAGAGATGACATACCTGCTGGCTATTACATTGTAGACAAATATGATGGCCTGAAAGAATTTTTCTTAACAACATTTTTCTTAACAACAAATTGATATGCTGATTTGTCCATTTTCTTCGCTACTGAAGCTCTTGACTATTGAAATTAACTACTGGAATCATCATAGGAATTTTTCAAAATTCTCCTGTGAAAACACTTTTAATCTGGTAGCTTCATCAGTTCTCGTTATGCCTAGTGGCACATGAGGCTTCAGAGAGGACTTTCCATGCTTTCCTGTCCTGTGCAATCTTCAGTGCAGTTTTCCATGTCAAAGATGCCACACTCAGGTCACTTTCCATCGTTCGTCTCCATGTTGTTTTTGGGCGCCCCTGTTTTCTCTTTCCCTCTGGTGTCCATGTGATAGCTGTTTTGGCAGGTATATCAGAAGTCATTCTTATAACGTGGCCAAGCTATTTCCATCTTCTCTTGGTAATCATACTGTCTAAAGTTTCTTGGTTTGTGGCTTGAAGTAGTTTAGTGTTTCAGATTGTATCTGGCCAGAAAATTTTGATAATTCTACGTAGACATGTGTGGTGGAAGGTGGACAGCTTGTGTGCATCCCTTTTGGTCATTCTCCAGCATTCCGCTCCAAAAAGAAGAACTGGCAAAATGATGCTCTTGTAGAGTCGGAGTTTCGTTCCTCTGCAGTAATTGTTGGATTTCCAGATTTGCCTCCAAAAGCAGCTCTAGCTTTTTTCAGACGTGACTGTATGTCTTCCTCTGTCCCTCCCAGTAGGGACACCACACTGCCAAGATATGTGAAATGTTCTACATTTTCAAGTGATTGGTTATTTATGGTCACTGGTTGTTGGTTTGGACTGTTTGTCATGATCTTAGTTTTCTTTGTATTTATTCTGAGTCCCTCCATTTCTGCTGTGCAGTTTAGTCTGTTACTTTTCTCTTGTATACGTTCATGTTTATGTGATAGGAGTGCTATATCATCTGCAAAATCAAGGTCCTCAAGCATGGTGAATGGAGTCCATCGTATGCCTCTTAATGTCCTTTCTACTGTGTTCTTTAGTATCCAATCAATCACAAGGTTGAAGAGGAGAGATGACATAACACATTCCTGTCTTACACCCGTCTTTACTGGGAAAGATGTATTGTAATTTTTTATACTGCAGGAAAAGTCTTTATAGAAGATAGTAATTATGTTGACTATTTTTTCTAGAATTCCATAATGTCGTAAAATTTTTATGCAAAAAAAAAAACCCCAATTATTGCCGTCTGTTAAGTCTCTTTTTTGGGGGATTTTGACTATTGTTCCTTCAGTCCAGTCATCAGGCAACACTTCTTTTCCCCAAATATCCCTGAACAATGGTTCTAGAATGCTAGCAGTTGTGTTTGGATCTACTTTGAGAAGTTCTGCTGGCAGTTCGTCTTTGCCTGGTGCTTTGTTATTCTTTAAAGTGTGGATAGCTTTAAGGATTTCTTGTTTGCTTGGTGG